GGGAACTCCGACTGGCTAATGGCATTGCCTGCCTGTCCTCTCCATTCTGAGGCTTCAGGATGAAGATGCTTATATAGCCAGCTTCAAAAGAGCTTGCAGAAACCAGGGTGGAAAAGATGTCACACGAAAAAGCCTAGAAACAAAGGAAATTCCTATTAACCAATCCTTCTAAAAAACTGAACTCATTGCATGCTGTCCCTGAAATTTCTCACTGCTTAAAGTAGCTGGGAGTGTGTAACACTATCACCCTTCTACTCTAAATTAATGTTTATAGTGCTCAACTGCAATCTGAACTTAGTTTGCAGGATTGAAGTATCTGGTGTTTTTAGATGAAACTTAATTTAATAGAATTAGGCAGTTCTATGGCATTTAACCTCACGTCTCAAAAGTGAACCCTGGGTCTGGTGGCTTTCCTTCTTTTTTTAAATCCCAAACAGCCTTATTACAGTCTGAGTAACCATTCTTTAGTTGCCTTAAACTGCAGCATATCAACCTATTTTACAGTCTGAATCAGATGATATTATGTGTGAGAATATTGTTCAGCACTAAAACAGTAGAGACCCTGCTTTGGGCATTTGTAAAATAGCTGCATGGGTACTGAGTCCTAACATTTGGTCCTCCCATTTGCTAATCAGTCAAGGTTCAAGGGCATTACCATGTATCTTGGGCGATCAACTGTGGAGCAGTTCTCTGATGTTCCATTAGGGAATCCTCATTCAGTCTTATTCTTTTCTTTGGGCTTCATGTCAGCAATTATATATAGATACCTCCTGATTCCAAAAGGCATAGAATGGTAGAAATACCCAACTGCAGAGAGATTATGAGAAAGAAAGCATGTTAGAAATCAAAGATGTCCAGTAAAAGCCATGTTGCCACATATATCAAACATTCATTAAATTATTGCAAGATTAAGTCGTGTCAATTGCCCTCTTGTCCCCCATGTGGATGCCCATATTAACATTGGAACCAAGCAATCAGAAATGCCCATGGTAGTGTTTTTCCCCAGTCTGTACTTCAGCCATCAGTTGTGGTTGCATTACCCTTTGTATTTATGAGACTGCTCAAGAGTTAGGTGCAACAAATTTTGAATGGGAGATATACTAGCAATTATGTCATTAGAAACCCCTTAAGACATAACAATAGGCATTATTTTCCTTTTGCTGCATCTTCATGTAGGTTAAAATTACACTTTGCACCCCAGCCTTCACTTCCTCACTAGCCCAGGAAGAAATGTTAGTCTGATTACAACCACCACCACCACCACCACACTTTGAGACACTTTGATTTTAAAGTTCAACCTGACTTTTACTGGATTAGTAGCACAATGGGACACATGTGCATTGAGAAAGATCTCCTTTTCAGTCCTTAGCATTTTTGAAAAAACTGGTAAAGATTCCTATCTGAGACTGGAAATTTGGTGCCAATTCATGAAAGGCTTTCTACAAAACTGAAGTCTGCCCACATATGAAATGGACAATACAGATTTAGATGAGTCAGAAGGTTGACATGATGTAAGGCTGCTACCTAAATTTCCAAATCCAAACTGATTAACTGAATTTATGTCTTGCTGCAATTTCACAACTTTCAGTGGTCGAGAGAGAATAGGAGATTCTTTAATGCATGTAATAGGCTGATGGAAGCTAAATAAAGCACAATTGCAAATTTAAACAATTAAAAAAAAATCAATGTAATTGAAATGTTGGAGCTTCAAGAAATATGAGCCTGAAATGTCTCAATTAGCATAAAATGATAAGCTGACATAAACTGTCCTGGGAGCAGAAACAAGTCACTCGGAGTTATTTGTCAGTGTTTCTTAACAAACCACTAATTTTTTTCCATACTTCAGTTTAATTTTTGCTGATACAGGTGGTTTTGATTCCTTTGCCTTTGGTTTGTCACAAATTCTGCCTTCTCTTAATTGAAATCCTTCGACTAATATTCTCAGGATGCTGAATACTGGCTGCAGGCCTGAAAAAATAGTTACTGTAGAATAATTCCAAAGAATTGTTCCAAAGTGATTGAGCTGAAACTACAGACTACAATCTGCATGCAGAGTTTTGGGTTGTTCCTGTGCCACTAGAGTTTTGCTTTAGCAGAGAATTTTATCACTCACATGCCTTGAATTTCTTGCCTATGGGCAGTCATTAGTATTCCCACTTGATAGTGCTATATCTGATAGCTGAGACACCCAAAAAATGCAAGTAGAGAATCTGGTTGAATCTGGCAAAGCTCCATCTGCAACTTATTAGAAAAGTATGTGACTAAATATGCATTTAGATTTTTAGCATTGCTATGTTAATGTATGAATGAATTCAGTCCAAGCTCCTGCAGTGTCTTTCAGCATCCAAACGTTCTTCCCGGTGTGCCTTTTGAGGATACTAAGGTTGTTTTTTTTTGCATAAACTCTATCAAATATGTACCAATAAGATTCTGGATTATTTGGCTCAATCAATTTAAGACTAGTTTTCAGTATGATCTGATATTTGTAAAACTTATTTGCAAAAAAAAACAAACCAAACCAAAATAGCAACTAATTATGTTTTACATATTGTTTTTGCTATTCGCAATCTACTGAAAGAATTATCTAAAGTTAATTTTTTTTAAGGTGATAGATAGATATTATGGTCACAGACGAGAGATTTTTCTTAAGGCTGAGTAGAAATAATTTGAACATGTGCTGAACTTTCTCATTGGAATCAAGCAAAAATGTTTAACTTTATCTGTGTTCTTATTAGGGTTTTTTTTTTTTTTTACATACAGCAATTCCTTCTCAAGTTGTACTCTGTCAATGTAAAAAATCTAGCTTTCTATTTAGTTGAGGCAACCTAGAGTCATTTTTAATTATTCCAATTTGGCAAGAATGTTTTCTTCTTCTAATAAGCCTTGAGGATAAGCTTGGGATGCACCTTTTCTGTGGCTGCCCCAACCCTTTGGAACAGCCTCTACCCATGAGATTCAGAGTCCCCCCACCTCCCTGCATTAGCCTTTCAGAGGGCTGTGAAGACCTGGCTATTCACCCAGGTTTTGGGCTAGGATAGAAGTGAGCCCAGCAAATGTAAGAACTTGGCTATGTGATGTTGCCGTGCTGGGCTTTGGGATATGCGGGGTTGTTGTAGGGTTGGTTCCTATTCTTTATTTAATGTTATTGTGAGCTGCCTAGAATTATCTTTTATATGATAGGCAGCTATATAAGTTTCTAAATAAGTAAATGATATGGTCAGGGACAGCAATCTGCTGAGCTCCAGTTGGCCCAGCAAGCCTTTGTGGAAATGCCCCTCCATGGCCATTTTGACTTTGGTTGCAAGACAGACCAGTCACCTGGTCTTTTTCTCTTTAAACTGGACTATCAAAATCCCAGAAGACTGATAGATCTGTCAGCTATAATCCTACCATTTGGTATGTTGTATGTATTGGATGCGTGGGTGTGTGTTTGTGTTGAGAAGACTGTAAAGTATGGAAAGCACATAAGACACACACTCACATGCACACACAAATGTGGAGAGTAGATCAAAGGAGAAAAAAGAGGCTCTTTGCTTGAGCAAAAATGAGCCACAGGGAAATTGACTTCAAGAGGGAGAAGGGGAAAGAAAAGAAAGAGCTGTAGAACAGAATAGTACTGAGAAATCTCTAGCTTGGGGTTCTCTGCTTTCTTGTAGAATTGGATTTTCTGATAATTCAGGCAGATTTATTTCTGGAGGGGGCTTGTTTGATATAGGTTTATCAATCTTCTATTTATTTAAGAGGACTATCGATCTCCCAGGTCCTGCAATAATCCTGATAACCTCTAGATGGCAGCATCCATAAAGTAATTTCACAGGACTATCAGTCTCCTGGGAGATCAATAGTTGTGCCAAAATAAGCATACAATAGTAAAAGTTAAGGCTTGGAGCCCCAATTCTGCCACAGCACACGTCCAGAAAAGCAAATTCCTGTGTTAGGTGACATCGGTGAGGAAATAAAAATTGGCAGAGAATCCATTAATTGCAATCCTGAACTTGTCCCACATTAAAGTGGGTGAGAGCAGCCACACTGCCTGGTTTCATTATGGAGGCATGGTAAAGACAGGCTCTCGGGGGCAGCACAATTTATATTGATACATTTCCTTTCAATCAAATGACAGAAGAAAACACATTCATGTGGCCATCAAAAACAGTCCATCATCTTCACCCTAACACTTCAGCTGGCAAGTCTCCATGACAGATTGCTACTCAAATGATTATTCCTATACATATACATATACAGTAGAGTCTCGTTTAACCAACCTTCACTTATCCGACATTCCGTCTTATCCAACACCCCTAAAAAAAACACAACACCCATAAATCGGCAACGAGAAAAG